TGCCTTTAGGGTTTTTGAGGGCCTTGGGGTTGGGGAGGAGTGTTGAGGTTGCGATACTTGTTTTTATATAGGGAATGAGAAGGGTGTGTAAATAGTCTTCTTGGGGCTTTCTGGTTTCAGAGACCCAGTCACTGAGGGCTAGTTGGATGGATTGTAAGGCGGTTTGGGTTCGGGATGAAGAGCCCGTTGGGATCGGGCTCAGTGCTTGCTTGACATGTGGTAAACCGGCAAACCTTCCTGACCCCCTGAATATGCGTCGTATCTTCTTCGTGAACCCGAAACCCAAAACCCCAAAACCCTAAACCCCAATCTTCTTGGTAAACCTCCCATGTAGTAGCAGAGGCTCCTATCCCGCACTTGTAAACGCCTGAGACAGGAGACCACTTTATCCTTAAACCTAGACCCCAAAACATGAAGCCCAGCAGACCGGAATCCTAAACCCTGAACGCTAAATCTTTCCCGGTTTAGGGTTTAGGGTTTAGGGTTTAGGGTATAGCCTCTTAAAGTTTTTTTTCCTAAAACCCAAACCCCGAATCCTGAGCCCGGTTGTTTGGAGACTCGCGCAGGAGGGGCTGGTGCCGGTCATGGATCCGGCAGGGACCTCAGGGCCCTTCGGTTGATGATATAAATCCTGCATGACCCATAATAAGGAATATACCATAATTCCCATAGTTTAGGGGCCTTAAGGTCATGCAGGATTTATATCATCCACCGTTGCTTCGCCGCGAGTGTGATGTTGAGTGCTCAGGGCCTTACTGATCGGAACACGGTTGTGGGGTCCATTAATCGTATAAGTACATTCTGGACCCTTATTCAGGCCCAAACAAGGCTTGGAGGGTCATGGGACTTAGTAAGTAAGGTTATAAGTACCTAAATTGGGGTTATAAGTATAGTTACCCTAATTATAACCCTGGTTACTAAGTCCCATGATCCTCCAAGTAGGGCCACAGGGCCTCAAGGTTTAGCCTTGAGGGCTGTAGGGTACCGCAGAGCGCCTTATACAGACCCAGCTGAGCCCTGAAAGCCCGAGAAGCCCTCGTAGAAAGCGTGCAGCGACTCTTGAAGCAACCTTAAAACCTCTGTAGTAGTAGTCGTCGTCGTAGTAGTAGTAGTGGTAGTAGTAGTAGTAGTAGTAGTAGTAGTAGTAGTAGTAGTAGTAGTAGTAGTAGTAGTAGTAATGGTACGAATAATCGTACTTCAAGCCCTAAACCCTAAACCCTTAACCCTTCTACCTCTAAACCCGACAGCCCCAACACTCCGAACCTTGCGATCGCCAGGTGGTCTTCCAGAAGCTTCAAGACCTTCTGAACGACAGCCACAAAAGCCATGACAACTGGTCCCTCCCTGAGTGCTCTGGGGTTGATTTTCACTATACGGGTTACCCTAAGGTTAAGGATTTAGTACTGGGCCTTGACGGTACTACACAGTTTTGCGGTACGTGGTGGTAGTTATTGCGTTTGTAAAGGAACCGTAGCGAATAGTGTTTGTACATGCTGGCATCTATTCAGCCTTCTATATTAGTGGTTTCCGCTGGCTATACGGCGGGTCTAGGTCTAAGGTATAGGGTCTCGAGAGTTTGTTTTTGGTGTTGAGAGTTCATGGTCGGGGTTCAGAGTCTTCTTTAGGCTGAGGAAGACTCTGTCGAACAGCTGTGTCAAAGAGCGTGGTCTCTTTGGAAAAGGTTGCCAAAGGCTTTGATAGTCGCCTGGCTAACGTCAGGCAAAGCCATTCTCCGTTGGGTTGAAGGTGATTCTTGGCAATGAGGAGGCAAGACTAAGCGAGGGAACTGGCTACGTTGCACGCCAGTTCGGAATGCTACATATACTCTCAACCCAGCTGCAGTCCCTCCACTGTTTCCACCTCGTTTCAAGACTGCTTCGTCTAAGCCCCTGTATTTTTACAGGGGTTTATATGACCTGCCGGCAGGGCTCTGCGGTTTCAGCAGGCTTCTGCGGCGCTTTAGGCTAGCCGAAAACTTTGGCTCCAGAAGCAAAGGGGTTGGAGGCTGCAAGGGTTTACGGCATATACTACACCTTTTGGAGCTCTGCGGAATTTAGGGCACATCAAACTTTACAGAACCCACAAAGTGCAAAGGCTGGGCATCGGAGAGCTGCTGTGACGGAAGCCCAAGTCCTCTCGAACCGTCCTTCCCTTAGAGCACGACAACCAAAAACACTCTCCGAACCCTAACCCGAAACCCTCAAGCCCAGGATAAACACAAATGTCTAGGCAAAGCAAAAACAAAACCCGGTCAAAACCCGCACAACACTCCGTTCCCGAACCCGAATCAAATTGTATAAACCCCAAAAAGCACTCTTCCAAAACCTAAACTTTTTGATAGCAAAGCCTGAAAACGAAGCCTTAAACTGAGTAATACAGCGGCCTGACTAGTTACCCATACTACTTCGGGGTTCCTCATTATGATTATGGTATAGCATACCCCCCCAAACCCTATGCTAATTATTAAGGTGCTTATGTTAAGCCCGGAACCTCTGCGGTATGGGGCTCTCAGGACTCGCGATCGTGGTTGCAGGCGCGGTTCAGGATTTACAGGTTCAGATTTCAGGGCAACCCGGAGCTCCAATAAGACCCGAAGACTAAACCCTAGATCCAAAGCCCCGAACCCAAAATCCTAAACTCGGGGGGGTAGGCTTGAGCCGCGGCTTTGGTGCTTCGGTTTTGGATCCGGCCCGCCAGAAGCTGAAGCTTTCACCCAAACGCGGTGCGACTCGCGGTTCGGGCTTACGGTGTAGGGCGGATGGTTGATTGAGGGCTGCGGGATTCGGCTTTAAGGTCAGGCCTCAGGTTGGCGGTAAACTGTAAAGCAAGACCAGAACGGTTGTGGACGCCGGGCAACCATAGTCAGTTTAAGCTGGTGCGTCCAACTCTGTTCTAACTATTAAGGCCCGTAGATTATTTGAACCGGGCATAGCTTCAATCCGTTCTGTCTTGTTTGGGCATTGGAATTCGGGCCTTAGGAGCCTGCCCGAACTAAACACAAATGCACGAAGAAACATCAAAACGAGACCTAGGCCCTAAACCTCACTCCCTTCCAGAGCCCCTTTATAGAAGCTTTAACGAAACCTATTCTGATTATGAAGGCCCCTATAGAACCTTTGACGAAAGGAACCTTTGCTTGGAGGATCATGGGACTTAGTAAGTAAGGCTATAAGTACCTTAATTGGGATTATAAGTATAGTTCCCCTCGTCATAACCCTAGTTGCTACGTCCCATGATCCTTTAAGTAGACCCTACAAATCCCCTGCTTATAGTAGAACCCCTATAGATCCCTTTAAAGGAGCCCAAACGGAAGCCCACACGGCCGAAGGATCCACGGCGTGAACGGTTGCTCCTGGGCCTGCGCGGCGAAGAACCGGAGCCCGGCCCGCCCGGGGTTTAGGGTTTAGGGTTTAGGGTTTAGGGTCTAGGGTTTAGGGTTTAGGGTTTAGGGCACTACTATTATGGAATGAGCTCCCGAAAGACCATCCCTATTATGGTTTTGGGAACCTAATTCCATAGTAGTAGTGTATATGGACCCTCTGCTACGACGGTTTAGGGTCTAGGGGCTTAAGGTTTAGGGTTTAGGGGCTTAAGGTTTAGGGTTTAGGGCTAAAGGTTCAGGGTTTAGGGGTTAAGGTTTAGGTTTTAGGGTACGACGACGACTACTTCTACTCCTGCTACTAATACTACTACTACTACTACTACTACTACTACTACTGCTACTACTACTACTACTACTACTGCTACTGCTACTGCTACTGCTACTGCTACTGCTACTGCTACTACTACTACTACTACTACTACTACTGCTACTACTACTGCACTACTACTGCTACTGCTACTACTACTGCTAACCGTAGTAGTAATCATGAACATGTGAAGAAGAATTGTCCACATCATACTGTGACAATGATTATCATCATAACCATACCCATACCCGTAATAACAACAACACACAGTAGTAGTATTCGGGATACGACTACTGCAACTACAGCAACATCAGCTGTGACGGCTACTACTCTTATGCTGGTTGCCATGGCACGGTGATCAATTACTTGCCTACCTGGCTTTGGGCTTGAGAGCTAGAGTGATTTCGCGTTTCTGGGCTCGACGTAAGTTTCCGTGATCGATTGATTTAAGATGCGGGTGGAGGAGTGGTGCAAAGCCTTTGTGGAGAGTATAATATCGCGTATAGTATACTGTAACTTACTTTATTACGATAACCTACTATAATATCCTATAGCATACTATAATATAGTATAACATACTATAATATAATATACTATAATCTACCGTAATATACGACAATATGCTATAACAACACACGATTCGGTCTTGGGGCTGAGGGCCTTCGTGTTGGTAGACTCCCTGCGTTCATCTTGTTGAGTGCAGCGCCACAGCATCTTCCAAGCAATCGAAATTTTTGAAACCCTCACCCCTAAACCTTAAAGGCGCCCTTAAAGGAACCTTAAGGTAGCCCTAAGCCCTAAACCCGTAAAGGTGCCCTTCAAAGAACCTTAAAGCAACCCTAAACCCTAAACCCTTAAAGGTGCCCTTAAGGAACCTTAAGATAACCGGCCCTAAACACTAGAACCTTAAAGGCGCCCTTAAGGAACCTTAAGATAATCGGCCCTAAACCCTAGAACCTTAAAGGCGCCCTTAAGGAACCTTGAGATAACCGGCCCTAAACACTAGAACCTTAAAGGCGCCCTTAAAGGAACTTTAAAACCCGATGAAGCTGTGCTCACTTGGAGGGTCGGGGGACTTAGTAAGTAGGTAGTAAGTAGACTTATAAGTACCCTAAAAAGGGACCCTAATTGGGGTTATGGTACTTATAAGTCGCTAAAATAACCAGTTACTAAGTCCCCCAAAACCCTAAACCCTTATAGAATCCCTATAGATCCCTTTAAAGGGGGCCCTTAAGGAACCCCTCCAAGCAGAGAGCCCTTGGAGCCCGCAGGTTCCTACCGGCTTCACTCTGCACACCGCATACAGGCAAGCGCTTGAGAGGTCTTTAAAGGGGTCTATAAGGGTTCCTTAAAGGGGTCTGTAAGGGTTCCTTAAAGGGGTCTATAAGGGTTCCGAAAAGGGGTCTATATGGGTTCCTTAAAGGGGTCTATAAGGGATCTGTAAAGGGTTTAGGGTTTCCGAAAATTAGGGGCTAGGATGTCCAGTAGTACCCTTTTTTCCTTTTTGTAGTCGTAGGTTCCTTATAAAGTGACCCAATACCAAAAAGGGAGTCCTGTTTATTCCTAGGTTACTGGGCATCCTAGGTTTGGGAATCATTCATAGAGACCCTTAGGGGGGTAAGGGTGGGGGGGGGTAGGGACTCTACTTCCGCAAATAGGCCTTGTGAGGTCCGTATCTATGATTCAGGGGTTTTGGGAAAAAGGCTCGGGGTTTCGTGGTGCCTTCGGAACCCTCGCCTAGGTTTAACATCGGCTTTTGGCTTTGGCACTCGAAGTCACACGGTCCCGGGTCGAGACAGGGTCTTCAGGGTTTAGGGTCGGGTTTCAGAGCTTTCAACAGCGCACTGTTTCTATTCACAAGTCCTTAGCCGCGAACCCTATCGAAACAGCTGTTGAGTCGGCCTTTTGTGTGGTTCGGTCTTCTCATGTCGAATGCCGAAGCCCGCAGCTCTGAAAGGCTAGATCCCGAAGTGCAGAAAGCAAGCTAGAATAGCGTCACAAGCCCAAAAGTATTCACTCCCCGACACCAACAGCAGTTGTCGCACCAAAAACAACAGTGCGAGTTGTCATAAGAGCAAAACGGGACTTTTGACAACAAAGTCCATGCCAGACGAAAGCACTGGAACAACTAACTGAAGCGAAAACGACATCTCTTAGCAAATCAGCAGCCGAAAACCGCATCATGCAGGAATCAAAGCCCCGAGTTGTGGCGAAGGCCATCCTTGATCGTGGATTTGGGTTTTATATATTAATAGCTCGATTGCGGGAGTTGACCTGTTCATAGCTGCTGGGCTCTGAGCTCTGCAAGCTTTCTGCACCTGCTACGCTTTTTGTGTTCTAGCGCGGCTGACGATACAGTGTAGGAGTATTCGGAAAGTTTGCGGGACAAGGCATGCCCGGTCCTGATTCCTCAGTGTTGTGGTGCGATTTAAACAGATTTGGCCTGGCGAGGGCTTATCGCCCTAATCCCAAAAGCACAACAACAGCAGCAGCAACAGCAACACCGCCACGACCACCGCCACAGCAACCGCAACCGCAGCCCGCAACCGCAACAGCCACAGCCACAGCAACAGCTACTGCTGCCGATGCTACTACCGGTATGGCTGTTGCGACTACCATTACTACGACTACGACGTCTACTCCTACTACTACTACTACTACTACTACTACTACTACTACTACTACTACTACTACTACTACTACTACTACTACTACTACTACTACTACTACTACTACTACTACTACTACTACTACTACTACTACTACTACTACTACTACTTACTACTACTACTACTTACTACTAGTACTACTACTACTACTACTACTACTACTACTACTACTACTACTACTACTACTACTACTACTACTACTAACTACTACTACTACTACTACTACTACTACTACTACTACTACTACTACTACTACTACTACTACTACTACTACTACTACTACTACTACTACTACTACTACTACTACTACTACCACAATGACGATGTCTGCTGACGCACGTCTACCAGTGATTAGTCGTACCAGTTGTGTTCGTAGATGTTGTTCTTTCAGGACACCTGAGACCAATAGACAGCAACAAGAGACACAGAGACACAGAACTGGGTAGTGTTGAGCTACGCGGAATGCTTCTCGTCACAAAGCAGTGCCAATGCTTCTGTAAATGTAGCAATATAGCCACAACATGGTGTGTACGGCTCCTGTCATGGCGTTCCTCTACCCTTCGTCGTGCCAGGTACTGCCTCTTGAAGCAAGCCATACGGCTGGAATGTGCCCGGAACCAGGGCGAGTTCATGCAGCCGAAGCTCCTCAGCCCGGCACCAAGACTCGTCCCAAGACTTTGGGCGCCAGGGCCGGGCATTTATGCCTTCGGGTCTTGTAGGTATCCACCATTCCCCCGCCCTTACCCCGGGGCTTCGTCCTTTATGCCTTGCATTACTCTTGGTCGCTTTGTTTTTCAATGCGCCACGCGCATTCGCAAATCGAGTTCCTGCTCTCACTCGCATCCTTGTATGGCTTCTCCTCGACCAGGTGCAGCTGACTTGGACTCAGACCTGGACAAGGATTCCACGGCTGCTTAGGATTATTGAGACCATAGTACTGTTTCGGACTAGAACGTTGCGACACTCGAACCGTAAAGCGAGTAGTACAAATAGCGAGGGGACGGCTCCTTATTGTCGGAAGATCGAATGGCCTGAGCAAGTCGGGACTCCCATGTTGGAGTCCCCTAAATCCTAAACCCTCAAGATCGCCCTTATGGGAGCCCTTAAAGGGACCCTTTAAAGGAACCCAAGGGAGTCCCCTACATTTCCGAAACTCCCAATGCCAATCCGCGGAGGACTCCTAAACCCTACCACTACTACCCTACCCTACTACTGCCCTACCCTACCCTTCCCCACCCTACTAATACCCCACCCTACCCGACTACTACCCTAGAGGACTGCAACGAGTGGCGTTGCTTCCATGGCAGTGGTCCGGACAAGCTCAGGGGCAGCTCGGAGACGATCCAACATAGGGGCCTTGACAGGGCTTAGAATAGGGCTCCTTAAAGGGGTTCCCTTATAGGGTTCTTATACAGGCTCTGTCAGTGCTACTGTAAGGATTAAACATAGGGGCCTTGATAGGATTTAGAATAGGGTTCCCTTTAAGGGGTTCCCTTATAGGGTTCTTATACAGGCTCTATCAGGGCTACTATATTTAGATGTTATAAGGATTAAACATAGGGGCTTTGATAGGGTTTAGAATAGGGTTCCTTAAAGGGGTTCCCTTAAAGGGTTCTTAGAAAGGGTTTATCAGGGCCACTATACAAGATGTTATCACCTTAATAGTTACCTAATACTATCAGAGTAGGGTCCTTGGGCGATTACAGGGATACATCATAGAGGCCGCCTTATTAGCTACCTATGCTATTTTGGGCCTAGGGGTTTAGTTCGTTTGGGGGTTTAGGGATGTGTAGAGTTTAAGGTTGAGGGTGTCAGGTCATGGCTGTTCAACCGTTCTAGCATTTAAATAGTGTCGACCTCGGTTCTTTTACTCTATTCTGTTATTCTTTTCAGTTCAGGGGACCAAAGTCTACCACACCCTTCAATGTGTCCTATCTGGAGGTTCGCTGAGTAGCTAGGTGCCCTAGGGTATTATTGTTATGGCTTTCTTTGTCATTCCTACTCTTGCTATTGTGCCGCATTGAAGGGTGACCACACTTGTTGTCGCTCTTCTCACTTTGGGGGGCTGACGTGTCAGGGCCTGTTGGTACCAGCTGTTGCCATGTAACGTTGGGAAGTCATGGGCTTGAGTCGGAGTTTGGTCCTTGGTGGCAAACCCAGACTCCGCTTTCTCAGGTCTGACTGAGTAGAAATAGCACTCTCTGAAAGTGCCAAAGCCCTGCTCTGATTAAGCCCAGAAAATCACCGAGTCGCCCTGGATGCCATTCCTGAGCAGCTGAGCCGTAAACCCTGAACCCTACAACTCATATACCCCAGCAATAGATTATGACGCCCCCAGAAAACCCAAAGAGCAGCTCTTGAAAACTGTTCTTCGAACTATCGGTGCATGTCCTGAAGACGCAACAAACCTCATCATTGATAAAGGGCTTCCAAGAATAGCCCAGAAGCAAGGTATTTGCGAGTCGAACTTCCGCCCAGCACTGGCGGGCACCGGCCGCGACCTTAGAGTTTTTGTTCGGAGGTTGGTTTGGAGTCTTAGTAGGGGTGCTACAAGGGTCTACGGGTTAAGTGTTTCTGCAAGGTGTTCGGCGTTGAGGCTCACCAAGGTATCAATGGTGTGTCTATTCGGTTTGTCGACTTGCAAGTGTTTCATCAGTCGGGTTTTGGGTTTACAGGTTCAGTGGAGTTGTGTTTAGGGTTTAATATAGAAGCCTAGGTAATTAATTACCTATACATTTTTTTGTTGGGGGGGGTGCAAGATTCACCAACACCCTAGTCTAATTGTTAAGGCCCCTAGATTTGTTATGCCCTTATGGATCCCTTTGAAAGGAGCCCTATTCCAATTATTAAGGCCCCTCTAGTAGGCTTTAGCGGTGAGGACTTTGACCCCAGTCGACGTGTGTTCGTGGCAGCGATGTGGCTTTGCATTCGTAGAGCTTACGTAGTATAGGGGCCTTGATATAATTAGAATAGGGCTCCTTTATTTAAAAGGGATCTATAAGGGCTACTATGAGGGCTACATAATAAGGAATCCTCAAAACCCTATTCTAATCATTAAGGCCTCTACCTTAGGGCATTCGAAGTGTTCAAGAGCTTCGGCCGGGACGCGGCTACAGGACCATCTACAATATTTGCAAGTTACATTCTCATGTATTCCCAGGGCGATGGCTTCAGAGTCTTTTGCGTGTGCAAGAACTTAGTGATTGCACGAAAACCCTGTTTATCTATAGAGGCCCAGGGGCCGATCCGGCAGTTCGTAGAGAGCCAAACTCCCCAACCCTGACAGTAGACCCCTTAATCCCCCAGACTCCAAGCCCTTGACCCTAAACTTTAGCGACTACACCCGACACACTAAGTCCTAGACTTGCAACTCCAAACTCAAAAACGAGAAGGCCTAGGGTTTGCGCACTCTAGCCCTGCAGCCGTCCATCTGCAAGCTCAGCGCCCCTGGGTGCCAGGGGCGACCTGGAAAGATCCAGGAGCAGCTAAGGCATGGTCTGGCTTATAAACGAGGATGTAGTAATAATAGTAAAAATAGTAATAGTTGTAGGAATAGTAATAAAATAGTAATAATAGTAATAAGGTACTATCACATCGGGGCCATTCTATATTTAGACTAGGGTTTCGGGGCCCAGTATACCATATTTATAATAAGGAATCCCCCAAATAGGAGTTTCCGAAAAGAGGGGACCCTAATGCAGTACCCTAAGTAGGTGGGATCCTTATTCAAAGGACCCCAAAACCAGGTGCCCCTAACTTTCGGAAACTCCCAAATATCTTTGGGAAAAGACACTTGGGGGTCACAGGGGCTTGGGGGCTTAGGGCTTGCAGTTTAGGGTTCCTTCGAAAGTCCCTTTACAAGTTTGTTCGGGTTTTAAGGTTCAGGGTTTAGGATTCAGGGTTTGGGGTGCAGGGTTCACGGTTCAGGGTTTGGGTTTGGGTTTCAGGGTTTGGGGTTCAGGGTTTAGGGCGTAGGGTACTGCAACGGTGCCAAGAAGGGATTAAGAGTTTGGGGTATCTCAGCGACCGTCGGCTTAAAGAGGAAACTGAGCCTAGTTGTTCACTCTCTCAAGGAGTCAGGATTATAGTAAATTCCATAAAGTTGGAAACCGAATTAAGGACAAATAGTGCTGGGATTCCCTATACTTTACTCTTAGGGATTGAGGCTGTCGGGTTTCCAACTTTTTGGCTTCTACTGTAGGGCCCTGTAGCCTCAGGTTTCTGCGGCTTCTTCTGGGATTCGTTCTGCCATGTTGCTGCCTGCAGGGCACGCCGCTCTACGGCTTCGGCTTCTACTTCGCAGAGCGCATCACCAAGGTCTGAATGCCTCAGGGCGATCGTGGCAAGTATGTAGATGATGTTGATGATCAGGGTGGCCTTGATAGCTGCTGGTTTTTGGCTGTCTCTGCTAGAGTATTGCTTGTAAATCATGTTGGCATTGTTGGTTGCCATGATGCGTCAGGCGGACGAATACGCCCGACCTCTGCCGGTGTCTCGTCTCAGACTGCAGTATCTCTCGGGTTGCACACCCTAAACCCGAAACCCTAAAGTGATACACCCAACCCCCAACCTGCTGGACCCTACGGCTTTAGGAGCCCAGGGCCCAAACCCCAATGCTCTGAGGAGGATGATGAACACGAGGGTCTCTGCTCAGTTCTCATCTGCCGGGTGGTGGGCGGCCGTACCAAGGCGGCAGCCCTGAAATGCTCTGTGGTTGAAGGTGCTTGCTCTTAAGCCCCCAAAGCTCTAAACCCTTAAGCTCTCGGAATCCCAAGCCCACACCCCTAAGCCTCCAAAGCCAAAGCCGCAACTGCCAGTACATCCCATCTTCGTATTTCCAGCGGGTTGGGGCGTCTTGGGTTCTGGCTTGTTGGGATTAGGCCTCGGTGAGAGAGAGCCAAAACCGTTCAGCTAGCCATGCTATGGCTGTTATCTCTGCATGTGTATAGCTAGACGCATACTACAATGCGTGAGAGCATCCACATGTGCTTAGTGATCCGAAACCCTGGGGGGTGTTGCGGCTTGGCCGGGCCAGGAAGCAGTTGGCCTTCCCTTGAGTTCGTGTTGCATAATTCCCAGTCTCCAGTTTCGTGGAGTTGCTCTCATATTGTTGGCCGGTTTTGCGGGATTTCAGTACCGCTCAAAGTTGGTAAGGCGTTGGACTGACGCTCGTGTTGTGGTCAGTCTAGCACCGTGGAACAGAAGCGTGTGCTACCGCGGCAGGTCGTGACCAACAACGACATCAATGTGGAGCCTCGGTGCGCTTGGACGTTGAAGAACACCCATGTGGTACCCGGGGCAGGGGAGGGGGGGAGGTATACTTGAGTAGAGGTACCAAAAAGTCTGAGTAATTACACCCATTTACAACCACCCATAATTAATCCCCAAAGGCCTCAAAGACCACATCTTAATGCCAAAGAAGAGCGCCCCTGAAGAAACCAGGGTGTCTCATTCCCTGAATTCGGCTCTTGCGCCAAAGCCTTCAACCCCAAATCCAAGAGCCCCGAAAGGAACTCTGTTCAATTGACTTAGTAACTTAGTAACTAGGGTTATAATTAGAGTAACTATACTTATAGCCCCTATTAAGGCACTTATAACCTTACTTACTAAGTCCCATGATCCTCCAAGTAAGTTACCCTAAACCCTAAACCCCTAAACCCTAAACCCTAAACCTTAAACACTAAACCCTAAACCCCTTAACCCCTAAACCCTAAACCCTAAACCTCAAGTTACCCTCCACGAACAGATCCAAGGACGGACTTCGGGGATCGGTATTCGATGGGCCCTACCACTCGGTCTTCGGCGACCGGGTGACGACACTGGGGAAGCCGTACCGACACTGGCCAGAGATTTAGGGTCTTGGGCTTGAGGCTTTGAAGTCTCCTCAACTTTACGGGTTTGGGGTCTAGGGTTCCGAGCCGCTTGCAGTGGCTTTCGTTCCCCTGGAAGAACAAGATCATGAGTCATCTGACCAAGTTTGATTATAACTTTAACAGGAAAATCAACAGCACTAGCGGTAGTAGTAGCTATACTTTGATCAGGATTATCAGCATTTCGTATCGGTTTTGCTGCAGTTGTGGCTTGTCTCTCAGGGCTCGACACAGGCAGGGTTGAACGGTGATGGCCCGCGTGGCAGCTCTGCCCAGGGGCAGCAGGACTTGCTACTACGACCTTCAACACAACGGTGCGACTTCTATCCTTACTTATGTGTTTGTTTACATGTATCTGATGTATCATGTCAGTGATTCTTCGTAGCTTGACTACGATTAGATGCCTCCAGTAGCAGAAGAAGCTCTGCATCTGCGTAGCAACTTTTCGGCTCTGTGAGTGCCCGAGTGTTTCGCTGTTGTTCCAATCGCCCCAGCGTTTACACGCGCCCGGGCGGAGATTCAGGTTGTAGTCTTTTGAGTTTTGGGGTCGTGCACTGGCTTGTACATGATTAGTCAGTTCTCATCTTAGCTGTAGCTACATCACACCATACACCGTAAGTCAGCTGCTACCGGTACTGTTTTGGATCTCACTTTTGAGGTTTCTGCGGTTTTCATGAGAGTGGCTCACACTGAAGGGCACTCGCACCCCAATGGTAGGGCTATTCTGTTCAGCTGCCTTCTTGGGGCCTTCGCACAATATTGCCTTATATGGGTTAAGAAATCCAGATCTAAATCCTAAACAATAAACCGTAAAGCTCTCATGCTGTTGGGGGTTTTCTGGCTGGAGGTGCCTTGCTGCAGCTTTAACGGCAGAAGATGTGTGGCAGAAGCATGTTGTCAGTAGGTGAAGGAACGAAGGCCAACACATTGAGGATATCTCAGGGCTGTCGGGCTTCGGTTTTGGGGCTCCTGTCATGCAGAGCGGTTTGGTTTAAGAGACTTAGACAGGATGGTCAAAGACACACCGCACACAGCACCAGTCGTAAAAGTCTATCTTAGACATGATTCTGGGATGGTTGCGAACAGTATCGTCCTGGAGTCCTCCCACTTATGTTGCTGACTTGTTGGGCTGCTAGCAGAGGGAGTACAGTTTCCGTGCAGATGAGGCACCCACTATGTCCATTCTTTGCTTGGTTGCTTGGCAGAAACAGAAGCAAGACCAGTAAAGATCATGTTAACTTTGGTGGTTTGGGAAGTGAACTATACGCGTACTCAGCTTGCTGCTTAGTGGTGCTAGCAACCCTAAACCCCAAACCCTAAAGCCCTAAATCCCTAAACCCCTAAACCCTAAAAGCTTAAAAGCCCTAAACCCTAAACCCTAAACCCAAAGCGCTCAAGGAGGAAGAAGAGAAGAAGGCTGGGATGCTTGCGGATACTGAGAAGAAGCGCAAGGGAAGCATTCCTGCACTACAAACTGTCAAAGCTGCCAGGACTGATGGTGAGGCTAGTGCGACTGAGTCTGAAACGGCTCGGCAGAAGCTGCTTGAGGAAAGAGTGGGAAAGGACGCTGAGCGCATGAGTCCAAGGAGCAGCGAGGGTGGTTCTGTCCGGGTTGGGCAGAACACCATAGAGTTCCATGGTGTGGTGTCATGCACCGAGTTGGTCAGGACCTTTGGCAACCTGGCGGCGAAGACTTCGGATGAGAGCTCCCTTATCCGGGGTTCAGTTTCGGTTGTCAAATCCACGGAGAGCGGAAAGCAAGCGGCTCGCCTTCCCGTGGAAATGATACGGGTGTCCAACTCTTGGTCGGCGGCCGACCGTGGGAAGAGCCTGCATACGGACGAGGCTTACTATTGCCTCAAGTACTGTACAGAGTACTTGGACCAATCCCGCCTCGATGTTGGAGTTCACCAAGCGCGTGATCGTGAGGTTCCTGGCTAGGTGCCTTTTACTTGCTCTTTGCCACCGGCACTTCGAGGCAGTCAGAGCAAGCGGATCGGCAGCCAGGTTCGCATAACCTCAGGCTCCACTTTCGAGGACACGAGGGCGACGCCGCAGTATACACCTCGCAGCTCGAGGATTACTGCGGCGCAGACAAAGTTCTCGAAGGAGTTTGGAGCCGCGGTTGGTCAGCACTTGGGCCACTTGAAGGAGTCGCACAACTTCAACGCCGGGGTTACCATAGACCTCCCGAGTGCGGTGAAAGAGTCGGCACATGCGCGACTCATTCACGAGCAGCAAGAGATAGGGCAGCTCAACCTGCAGGGAGTGCTGATACGACTCACTGACTTGCGAGAACGCTTGCGGAGGTTGGAAGGGTGGCTGAAGCAGCTGACCGTGGATGGTACGGCTATAAGGTCGCACCTCTTGCGGAGCGAGGACCCAGAGGTGCTTCGAGCACTACTATGACGAGGGCGCTGCTGGACCGGCTCCTGCAGGGGCCCGAAGGATGCCACGCGCCCTGGCTGGCAGCCCAAGCGTCGTGGCTGGCCGGAATGTGTCGTACTTGTACAACCTGGATGGAGCCGGGGTGCCGGAGTCGGTGCTCGTGCTTAAAGCAAAGTCAGTGCTGGATGTGGAAGCTACGCAGTTCATATCCTGGATGGTTCGGTTACCACAGGATTTGCTACTCTCAGTTGAGATAGCAGCTGGAGAGGCTTTGGAACCGGCTTTTGCATGCCGACACTATGAGGCTATACCCAATCGGGTGTGGCCTGCCTCGGGTGAAGGTGTCGTGGTCGACATCGGATCGGAATGCTCGGCTGTTGAGGATCTTCTTGGGCCTCATGCTGAGCGGTTTAATCATGCAGGAGCCGGCCATGATCCAGTACCTGCCCCTCGCCGCAACGCTGGTGAAAGGCGTGGAGCTTTCTGGGATGTCAACAATGCCGGGGGCAACCTGACGAGGACAAATCAGGGTCACCTCCGGCTCAACATGAATGGCAAGATGATGAGTGTCGAGCGCCTATCAGGCGTGCTGGAGCGTGCGATACACATCATTATGACCCAGAAGTTTCAAAGCTCCAAACTCTTGGAGCTTTGTGTCTACGAGTCGAACAAGCTTCTTGTGCACGGGGGACAAGTTGACACGCTGGAACTTATACGGAGGATGCTAGATCGCCAACGACGACTTCAACATATGGATCGCCTACTGCGGGATGCTGTTGAGGAGGCGATGTCTTGGATCCAAGTTCCGCTCTCAGCTGCGCCGCTCAACGCGCATGCCTATGAGAATAACATCTTGGCAGCAGTCGCGCAGGAAAGCACACATGGTTCGTCTGAATCGTCGTCGGCGACATCCAGTTGGGTCTCAGCGCCGTCAGTGCTCCTGCAACCGGGCTTTCCAGAGACGACGGAAGAGATTGCATGGGCTCTGCCGGAAACTGCTCCGCACACGATCCAAGGATATAGGCGAAGGGCTTGGCGAGCACATCTTCGTGAAGTTCACCGTCGAGAAGGGCGAGATCCTCCTGTTGGGAACTGGGCTCCTGAAGGTGACCAAGACTTGTTCCTGGTGCAGGCGTCACCGGAAACGACCATCCCCAATTGGCCGGCATCTGAGGAGATGCCGGGAACACCTTGGACTGGCCGACCCAGTGCGAGCCGTCGGCGAGGAAGACGTCCCCGACCACGACCTCGATTTGTTCGTCCGGGCTTTGATCCCCTCCTTGAGCTGGTTCCGGGGACGTCGGAAGTGGCGACCTTGACGACTCCTCCTGAGCACGCTCATCGGCCTGTACCTGGTCATCTCCCTGACCAAGATTGTCCTGCACCTGACTCCACGCCTGCACCTGGATCTCTGTCTGCTCAAGCACGTCCTCCCGCCTCTGGCCCACATCCTGCTCAAGTTCATGCTTCTCCGCA